TGTGTGTGTGTGTGTGTGTGTGTGTGTGTGTGTGTGTGTGTGTGTGTCTGTCTGTCTGTCTGTCTGTCTGTCTTTATATGTGGCATTCTTGGTCAGGATGTGGAGGTGAGTTCTCAAATACTTTTGATGAAAGGAGACCACTAATTCATGCATCAAAACTACAAGCTGAGTTTTCTTAACTTATGTTGATCCACAGATTACTACTGTGAGCCTGGTTACCCGGGAGACCCTGGTGACATGGGACCCAAAGGATATCCTGGAAACCAAGGGGTCACGGGACTTAAAGGTGATCTGTGATGGTTCATATGCATTAGTTAATCCCACGAGCAGAAATTGTGTTCTTCTCTGTAGCATCCTCTGGAAACATCCTGTAGGAATTCACTGGAACAGATTTAGTTTATATGCAGTATGTATAGTTGTACAGTATAGGAATATGCTACTTCATAGCCATACATTGTTATCATCTTGTGTGTCCTATAGGTTGTCCAGGGGAATGTGAATGTAGGTCTGCTGGGGGAACGGAAGGCCCCCCTGGTCCAGTTGGTTATCCAGGACCTCCAGGGTTACCTGGAACTCAAGGATTTAAAGGAGACCCAGGACTGATAGGATACGAGGGTCCAAGAGGACCACATGTAATGACCGCAGGACTCTAACTAACTAATAGTTAACCGCAATTTTCTTAAACATGTATTAAAATTAGCAGCAGTGACTTTTCGTCATTTCTTTTTTATCTGACTTTGTGTTTTCTTTCAGGGCTTTCTAGGAATTCTTGGTATAAAAGGACAAAAGGGTCAAAAAGGTCACTCCTTTGTGGTAGATGTTAATGGTGAGCACCTGTTAACATCAAACCTGTACCATACACAGTATTATTATACAAGCAAAGAGAATAGATGTTATAAAACTTGGATAATGTGATTGCCTTACACCACAGTAGGGCAATCACAGTGCACTGTATTCAGCACAGTCTGTTCTTCAGCACAACAGTAGCTTAAAACAAAAAGTAAAGATTTGTCTGTTTGTCTTTGTGCTTTTTGTCAAATTTGAAAACAAAGATCCGTTTTATATATGCCTATACTAAGGGTTATTAAACATTGATTACCTAATATCTTCACTTTATTTTTGTTGTTGAAAGGTGCCAAGGGTAACCAAGGAGTCCCCGGACATTCTGGTCCTCCTGGAGCAGAAGGTAGGCCAGGACTGGATGGCCCCCCTGGGCCCGCAGGGGACCATGGAACACCGGTGAGAGTTTACATTTGAAGTACTGTAATATGTAATTTATGGAACTTTTTTGGTTTTGCAGTTATTGTATCAGGTAATGTTTTTTGCAGGGTGCTGGATATGCAGGATTACCTGGTCCCAAAGGTTACCCTGGTGTTGCTGGACCAAAAGGGTTTCCAGGGCTCCTAGGCCTCCCAGGTCCTGGTGTTCCAGGCCCTAAGGGGCAATCTGGACCTAAAGGTTATCAGGGACTTCCTGGCCCCTCAGGAATTCCTGGACGACAAGGCCCTCCAGGTCAGAGACTGGCTTAAATTGAGATTCACACAACAAGCCAGTGTCATGGGCTAAAAGTATGTTGTATTTGTCTCACCAGGTGAAACAGAGGACTGCTGTCATGAAAATGAGATTGGATCACCTGGTCTGAAGGGAGAGCTAGGCTCACTGGGTAAGTTTTACAGGTGTTACACATACAGCAATATCTTTAAAAAACATCATCACTGCATCCAGGCACTGTAAAAAAGAATTGTTTATTCACCAGTCCAAGTGTCGTGTCCATTAATCCGACTTTTTAAAGTTCTGAGAAAAGTCGCTTGGAAGTTGATGACAGAATTGGCTGGACTTACCGTACTAAGCCACATGTCATGAAATAAACCTGATTCATGACCCCTGAAACAATTTCGATCCATGTTGCAAGTCAAGTTTTCTTTGGCCGCTTGTAGGGATTCCAGGTGAGACAGGAAGAGGCGGTGCTCAGGGAACTGTGGGATTCCAAGGCCCGAAAGGCATGAAAGGAGATGACAGTGCAACTGGAGGGATTGGACTGCTAGGTAACAACTCTCTAAGATGTTGTCAAATTTAAATTGTACACATATTTTTAGATATCATCTTTTTTCACTGGTGGGCCAAGATTCAAGGATCATCAAGCATCCACAACGCAAGGAATTTGTCAGTTAACTATCAATTATACAGTTAGGAGTGCTGTTTGAACACCTAAACTCTAGATCTCTCTTATTTTTAAAAGGTCCTCAAGGTTCAAATGGTGATCCAGGTGACCCTGGTCCAAGTGGAAGTAGCCTGGATGGCCCTTCAGGCCTTCCTGGGTTACCAGGACTTCCAGGCAGGAAGGGTGACCCAGGAGATGTCCTCTCTGCCAGGCCAGGTGATACTGGCCCACCCGGCCGCCCTGGGGCTCGGGGCACAAGCGGACTCCGTGGAATTCCTGGAAACCTAGGGCCTCAAGGTAAGTTTCATTAGTATTTAAGTGAACACAAATAAACTACTCAGCAACTTAGGCGTTAGCTAATGTGGCCTATATCACTGAAAAAATCCCAGCTTTACTCAAGTTGCAGTGTACCTGCCATCCCTTCCTGTACGTTGTAATTGGTTGATCATAGCTGCCTTGTAATAACAGGCGTACAAGGCCAACCTGGACGACTTGGTTGGAAAGGAGAGCCAGGAGACAATGGTGACCCTGGATTCACTGGTCCCCCAGGCCCACCCTGCACTGTGTGTGACGTGAGTGGACCTCCAGGCCATTCAGGACCTCCAGGAAACCCTGGACAGAATGGAGTACCAGGTAAGCCCACAGCAGCAGCAAGCAAAATGACGTTCCTTAAACATATCAAGATTAATCTCAGATTACATTCATGAATTTGTACCCATTAACATATATTTGAAATATATAATGTTGCATAGGCTACTCTGGTCAGAAGGGTGTTAAGGGAGATACAGGTCTACCTGGTCATGGACACAGGGGTCCAGAAGGTTTCCCCGGCCCTCCCGGTTTGCCAGGCCCAGCAGGACCAAGAGGTCCCGCTGGTCCCTCAGGAGATCTTGGGACCGATGGCTGGCCAGGACAGAAAGGTGAACCACTGGTCTGTCATGTGAAATCATGTAAAATGTTAGTTTAAAACTACACAGTAGCATCACACTCCAAGAAAAATCTTCCTAAAAAGGTCTTCACTGAAACCTGGCCTACATTTTATCAACAATATATCTGTAAAGTAGTCTGTCCTGATTGAAATGAGGCTTTTCCTTTAAATTCATGTAGGTGAACGTGGGTACCTAGGCAGTGCTGGGGCCAGAGGTTTACCAGGTCGTCTTGGACCTGCAGGACCCAGAGGTAGAGAAGGAGAGAGAGGCTTTCATGGTCGCCCAGGTGACACTGGACCCCCAGGACAGCCCGGTAATAAAGGTAAGTCTCTGTATGCATACCAAGACTACGCCAGCTATACTCAGTCTTGCCAGGCGCCATGGCATAATGTTTTTTTGATAATCGTAAATATTTACCAAGCAGGAAATTACCAAAATATAAAAAATGTGTCTGTGCCTTTGTATGTGTTGTAATACAGAGAAACATATATTTAGAATATTTGAATGCCTTAAATCATGGCGTAAGGCCACCATTCAAAATATATATCACCTAAAGATATAGCATGAATAAGATACTAGATCTTGACAAGGATGTCCACAGTAGTTGTACAACAGACGGCCTGTATACAGCTACAGCAGTGGATTTACAGCTACAGCACTAGATAAAGATGAATGAGGATGATGTTTAATTTAGGTTAATGAGCATTTCATCTCAACTCTGTGGTCCATCCAGGTGTACATGGTCCACCAGGATTAAGAGGACCATCAGGGATCGTGAATGTAACCAAAGGCACATCAGGACTTCCAGGAAGGAAGGGGCAATCAGGACAACAAGGACCTGCAGGCAATGAAGCTGTCCCTTAACTTACATATCTTATTTAAACAAGATAATATCTTTAATACCCAGGGACTTAACTACACATACTTAGTATAGATGTGATTTATAGTACAGGAATATCTTATTTGTTTTGTCACCTACAGGCTTAAAGGGCCCAAGTGGAGTGCCAGGTGATTCGGGGCCTGAGGGATGGCCTGGTACACCAGGGTTTAAAGGCAGCACTGGTGCTCCAGGCAGGGCAGGAATACCTGGACCTTCTGGGTACCCAGGGATCAAAGGTTTCCCTGGTCCAAGGGGATATCCTGGACATGATGGAGATCTGGTACACAATGAATCTAATTTATTGTCTTCATAACTTTAGAGAAAGCTTGTCTGTGTCTGTCCAGTAGACACCCAAATAGAATGGAAAATAGCTGCCACCTGTGTCACATGTTGTACCAGCAGCAAATCATTTCTGATAATCCCAGCAGTCTGTAATGCACAGCCATTATGCACCATTATTCTCATCTTCTGTGAGGACAACGGCATTAGGTTTAAGGCTCGTCCTAGACTGCTTATGTAATATATGTGAGACAAGACACATGATTAATTGTATGTAAGTCTCAAAAGTGATGTTAGATAGTTTGAATGTGTTGATGTCTGTTAAAGGGAGATCATGGAGCAAGGGGACAATCCGGTATCTCAGGGTCACCAGGATTTCCAGGAGCCAAGGGTGAGTCAAAAGAGAGAGAGATAATGATTGAATGATTGAAGACAAAGAGAAAACGTTTATACAACAGGATGTGAATCCACAGCAGATTGGATCATGTATAATTGTGTTGGGTTCATCAAACACAATATGCTATATTGTTCTAATAAATGCATATGTAACAATGAAGCCCAGTAAAATCTCTCGGGGTTTTATACCCATGTCATTCAGTTGGACTGAAAGCTGTCCAAATCTGTTCCAGGTGAGCCAGGACAGTCTTATGGAACACCTGGTCTACCTGGAGCCAAAGGACTGCCAGGGGAGGATGGACCCAGTGGTGAGTTAAGAACAGTAGACCTTAGGAGTTGGAAATGACTTCAACTGATGAGGAGGGACTCAAATTCATTTTTAGTTCAACTTGTCTTGAGGACGTCTGTCAGTTTCCAAGACTATACATACAATACTGTAAGTGGATGTCAAACTGGAAATTAATTTCCATCCACAAATATTACCCTCGAGCACCCAGAGGGAGTCCTGGAGATCCGGGGGACCCAGGACCCCAGGGAAGGTCAGGACAGCCTGGACAACGAGGGATTGTCGGTGAACCAGGAAGACAAGGAGGACCAGGTGATTTCCAGTGAAGACTTAGAAAGACAACCTATATGTACTGCAGCAATAATTTGAAAATTAAGGAATGCTGCTGTTGTTTACCTTTGAACTTAGGAATCATAGCTTTCAGTCAGAATCAGGAGAAGAAGAAGAACTTGCACCTCGTTGTGAGATGTCACACAGTTGTAAATCATCAGAGGGAAAAAAAATATATAAAAGAACATTCAATGGCAGTAAATGACAGCTCCAGTTTCCAGCAATTCTCATTTTGTCCTTCAGCCTATTAAAACAATATGAGCCAGATCTTAAATGTTACATCAATGTTGATCAAGCACTTTGCATCTTGTGCCTATATGCGCGTTGTTGGTTTGAGCTCTTTTTTTGTGCATCTCTACAGGCTTCCTTGGACCTCGTGGCCCATCGGGTCGTCCAGGTGTTCCAGGTTTTCCGGGCGATTTTGGAGGTCTGGGACCCCCGGGCCCACCGGGCCCATATGGACCTACAGGTACTAACATAATGTCAGTGTACAGGCATTGTAAGTCTCTATTAGTTTATTTGTATTGGCTTGAATTATGTGTCAAAAGGGGCCCTAAGAAGTGACTGCTCATAACCTAACAAGATTATCCTTATGTTGTACTATGGATTTCTGTGTAGGCCTCCCTGGACCACTGGGCCTGGATGGACTGGATGGGCTTAGAGGTCCAAAAGGGATAAAAGGAACAAGTGGTAAGAAGAGTGTTTTATCACAATTTTCAACTTAGTTAAGCAATCATTTCTTTGCATATCTTTTTTGGTTTGTCTGATGGTGTACATTTGTAGTTCATGTACATATATATGGTCAGCTGCACTCTAATCTAACAAAAAAGTGTAAGAATTAAAGTAAGTTAATTAGTCAGTACTCATAAAAGCACAATCTGTTATGATATTTTACCATTGACACTTAAATGTACTCATTTATTACTTCAAGGCACAGGTATACCTGGCCCTCCAGGACCAGGTGGTTTTCCTGGAGTCAAAGGTCTCAAGGGTCAGCATGGGCCTCCAGGAGCCAATTTTCCGGGGCCCAAGGGCCAGAGGGGCCCACCTGGTGCCACAGGTATCATATTCATTATCACCAATAGTGCAGTGCATCTACTGCATCTGTCTATAATGATGGGGAGAAAGGAACTGTTGAAGACAACCCTTTTAAGTAACTCCAATAGGAATAACACAGTGATGATTACTTAACATGCATTATTCTGTAACGGTCACTCAGACTGTGTTATGTTTTGTTATCTTTTTATTCAATCTATTTGTTTTTCACTCCCTTTCCTTGAATGAGGTTACAGTTTTATTCCTCTATGCAGTATATTTTCTGCCATAAGGTATATAAGTCTTGTGTATTTCTTCTCCCAGGTCTTCTAGGCTTTCCAGGTGAACCTGGTAACCCCGGCAAAGAATGCTACAAGCCTTCGCCAGGACCCAACGGAGACCAAGGATATGAAGGACCTACAGGACCCCCAGGTGCGTGTGTGTTTGTGTGTATGTGCCTATTTACGTTCATTAGTTTGTCTATGTTCGTCTCAGTATTTGTGTGGTCCCATTTAGGAATGAACATTGTGGGGATTTTTTAAATCTATTTGTCCACAACTGGAATTTTGCTTTGGGTTTTAAGGTCCTCCCGGGGAGCCAGGCCCTCCAGGCAGCAGCATTTTAAACAAAGGAGACCCAGGCCCAAATGGCCTCCCAGGGTTACCAGGTCATAAGGGAGATGGGGGCCTCCCAGGGCCTCCTGGATTTCAGAGCTACCCAGGCTTTACAGGACCAAAAGGTACAGTGCCAGACTGCTACCATCAGTATTTACAGTGTTGCCATCCACTTGCATGCACTCTAAATCTTGTTGCACTTTGACAGGTGAGAGAGGTCCTGCTGGTTCTAGAGGTTACCAGGGACCCAAAGGTCATATCGGGGTCCCTGGGCCTTGGGGCCTCAAGGGAGTAACGGGCCCAGCTGGAGACACAGGTGAATGAGATAGAAAATGTCTTAAGATTCTTTACATTTTTTCTTTCACTTTCGTTAAGAATTGATTCTCATTTACACAACACCACTGAGTGTTGTGTTATGTTATGACAGTACATCTGGTAATCAAAGCATTGTTTTTTTTCCAGGTGCAAAAGGTGCTCCTGGTGAATATTTCCATGGATGGACAGAGATGGCTCCCCCTGGACTCCCAGGACCATGTGGTCAGCCAGGATCTGTGGGATTCCCTGGTGATAGGGGTCCTCCTGGAACTCCAGGACGTAAAGGCAAGATAGTTTTATATATTCTCTGCATATGTACATGTATTCCCATGTCTGTGTCTGAATATATCTGTGTCATGTGTTTTCATCCTCAGTTGTCTGTGTGTGTATGTGTATGTGTATGTGTATGTGTGTGTGTGTTTGTCCTCGTTTGTTTGTGTCTGTGTGTTCCAGGACAGAAGGGCCCCATAGGGTTTGTGGGCCTCCCCGGCAAACCTGGTCCTGCTGGTCATAATGGTCCTGTTGGAGACCCAGGATATGCTGGTCAGCTTGGATTTGCTGGACCTCAAGGTAAACAATCAGACGCAGTCATGTAACAAGCCCAAACTTAATTTGGGATTAGGATTTTGGCAGGATGGCGAATTAAATACATCAGTTATATAAACTCACAGGACTGATAACTGTCTCCTGAAAAAAGACACCGTTTTTTTGTAGAAAGCTCTTGATAAAATGTTTGCTCTTTAAATCAAGGCAACAGATCCTAGACCCATGCCACCCACTTGTTCAACTCCTCCATCCTCCAGGTATCCCAGGTCCACCCGGGGATCCAGGTAACCCAGGCCAAAGGGAGGCGTTAAGGTCAGGCTTCCTTTTGGTAATCCACAGCCAGTCAGTTCAGGTTCCGCTCTGCCCTGAAGGCAGCAGTCGGCTCTGGGTGGGCTACAGTCTGGTCTACTTGGAGGGACAAGAGAAGGCTCACACTCAAGATCTAGGTAAGGGTTGTTGGAATTGAGTTAATACATAAGTCCATAAATTTAGTGGGTGTATAGGGTTCCTCTTTTACTCTCTCTCTCTCTTCTTTTACCTCCTCTACCTGTAGGCCAGGCTGGCTCCTGCCTCCCTGTTTTCTCCACCATGCCATTCTCCTACTGCAACAAAGGTGCCTGTCACTACTCTCGTCGCAACGACAAGTCCTATTGGCTCTCCACCACTGCTCCCATACCCATGATGCCCCTCGTTGGCCTGGAGATTAGCTCCCACATCAGCCGCTGTGCGGTGTGCGAGACGGCTTCGCCTGCAGTGGCTTTTCACAGCCAGGATCCCACAGTCCCACCATGCCCGCCTGGCTGGAGGAGTCTATGGACGGGGTACTCTTTCCTCCTGGTGGGTGTGATAGAAAGCTTTAGTGTGCGTATGAAATAAACATGATGTCTCATTAATGAATGTGTACCCTGCTGCACTTCTTCTCTTCAGCACACAGGGGCAGGCGATGAGGGTGCTGGCCAGTCTCTGGCTTCTTCTGGAAGCTGCCTTAAGGATTTCCGAACTCACCCGTTCATAGAGTGCCAGGGTGCGCGCGGCTCTTGTCACTACTTTGCCAACCTCTACAGTTTTTGGCTGACCACCATCAGTCAGACAGAGCAGTTTGTCACCCAGTGGCCCAGCACCATCAAGGCAGCCGACAAACAGCGACACAAGGCCAGTCAGTGCCATGTCTGCCTCAGAGAACAATAAAGGACCTCATGTCACTTTTAGTTCATGATTTTTTAAGTCATTCTGTTTTCAGAATCTAAGTCTGATGACCACTTTGAGTTATAGATAGATTATATTTGATATACGATGAAAAATGTCTTTGCATTTACATGTTGTTACCTTTATCTGATACGATGTCTCTTCTCTGTCATTATTTACAATGAGGTGCTATTTCTAAAGAAAATGTTTCATAGTTGATCCTCTTGCTGCTGTACCTGAAGATTTTGTAATAATCCATTTTCAGACTAGTCATTTAGGATAAATATTTTGAAGACCTTTCATTCTTTCATCTAAGTTGTACTCCTCAAAATAAAATCTTTGAAAAAGTTTCAATACTACGAGTCATTCAGAGTTCAATAGCTTCCCCAGTTTGGAAAAACAACAGCCGACATGCCAAAATCCCAAGATGGGAGTGAATGAAAAATTTCAACAGGATACAGTTTTCCATAGCGGGTTTCAAGTTCATATTTATTTATTTCTCTCAACAGAACCCAAGTGACAATCAGAATACAGTACTTTTTTCCTCAAACATTGTTTTTATCCTTTTCTTTTTTATTACGCAAAACAAGAGAACACTCAGTGCAATAAGACAGAGGACTCTGACGGTGCGGTGCTCTTTCTACCTTTTCACAGTGCACGTTTTATACACACAAGAAGATTGTACATCATCATTATTACATTTCCAACCTCCACCCACCAACATCATGGATAGGGCAAAGTGAATGTCTTAAAACAATCATTTTTAAAGATTCAACTTGCATACAGTGTATCTTGGCACACAGACACAAACACACACACACACACACACACACACACACACACAGCTCTCTCCCTCACACACACGTACAGGTACAACACAGAGGGACCTCTGTAGCACTGATTCTCACCAGTGAGGGGGTACTGCACTTGCACTCTGAGGGCTAGCTCCTTTTGTCAAACCCACACTATTTTGGCAATGTCGACATTGCATTTTAATGTGCTGAAGAGAACACATTTAGATGATGTAAGAAGGAGGTTGAGGTAGAGGGAGAGAGCGGGGGGGGGAGGGACATGTATGTAATCAGTCTGATTAAATGTGATGGAATATGATGGGTAGTGCAGATTCTTTTTTTTACAAAGCCTCAAAGATTTGCAGGCCGTTGTGCAACCCCTGTCTGCTTGACTGGGTAGAGCTGTTGCCATGTTATAGGTCCTTAAATGTTTTGATCTCGAAAATGGTTGCCAGCCAATTGAATTGGGAATATTTTCAGAGACAACGAATCGCGGATGACTGCATGTCGCACACAGCCAGCCTCCTGAGGCTTTACCTCCCCGCCAATAAATTAAAAACTTGCATGGCACAGCTATCTTTTTTTTTTTTTTTAACATTTTCAAAAATATATATATAAGCATAATCTTGAAAGTTAATTTCTTAATAAGCAAGTGCATATGGCTATTATAATCTGCGGTAAAATCAAGAAATGTTCTAAAAGCTCAGGTGCTGATTGTACAGGCCGGTCGTTGGCATCAAGTATTTACACTGTGTCGTGGTACTCGCAGTGTGCCTGGCAAAGTAAGGGCGCTAGTACTCGCCAGCTATTGCCACCAACCCTGTTTCAAATAACCAAGCGTCCAAAGTGCAACCACACCCTTATCTCGCTTTAACAGGCTTCGGCTGGTTTTAGAAATTATACTGTTAATAATGTATGATCTAATTTGCTACCTCACCCAACCCACCCTCATAGTGTATCCTAGAAAACAGCGTTTCAAACTTTCTCTGTCTGCAACATGCCGGCCAGTAGGTTTTCCTATAAAACGATTCGACCGCTTCAAAAGACTTTGACGTAGTGACTGCACCGCTTCTTACTGTAATATACAAACTGAAGCACACAAATGTTTCCTGTTTCTGTTCTAGGACCAACTGTTGTACATTCTAGAACATACTGTACTGGACCAGGCATGGAGGGCGCTGGGATCTAAAGCATGTAGACGTTAAACCCCTCAACTTACAATACAACAGTGAAAATGTAAAGTATATACTGTATAGACAGAATTGAATAGTCCGTTCAGTTTAGTGCTTTTGCGCACAAAAGAACGAAACAGTTGGGCATAAGAAAATTATGCTACTACAGTACAAGTATTGATAGATTATGCTTTCAAATGTAAAATAACAGAAACAAAGCCGAAATAAAAAAACACCATTAGATTGCATCTACATCTACTATACATAATTTAAGCTGCTTTTTAATCCCCATCTCATTTAGAAAATATCTATTCATGAAATATCTATACTACTAATTATATTACAAGAATCCAGTCACAGGAAATAGAAAAATATCAAATATCACCAGTGATGATAAGAAAACATGACAACCTGAACGAGCAGAAATATTGCTATGGTAACCGCCATTGTCCTTTGACATCAGCGAGTATCATCCCCCTGGCGCTCTTATTGGCTGTCCTGATGCCCCTGGTGTTGCTGGGAAGAATCAGCACAGCTCAGAGGAGAGAGGGAGTGGGTAACTGGGGGGGGGGGGGGGGGGGGGGGGGGGGGGGGGGGGGGGGGGGGGGG